AAATATGATCACCTAAGGCCACCGCCGCTGACCGGAGCATCGTCGACGAGGACTTGGCTCGTAGATTGCGACAAAACTGAATTCAGATAACCCATGTAACCAATCTTTTTTTATTACAAGCCCCTTTAATGGCTACAGATATCGTTGCAGAAACTGCGAAACGACGCTTGCATACCGAGAAATTATACGATTCTGATCACGGATTCTTTCCAAGAAAACCTGGCCAACAATAACATCAAAAAGAGCAGCAAATCATAAATCAAATCAGACATCATATTCGAAGAACAGATGTAATTACACATACATACAGAACTTCAATATGAAGAAAAAAACTATTTAACCCACGATCATATTTCTATATCTACAGAATCCAAAAAGAGAAGAAAACAAAAAAAAAAAGCAATTAATTCATTATATTGGTTTGTTCGTGCAAGTGAACCCTGTTATTAACATCATATTCATAACCCAATCTTGAAAAATCCAATCTTTTTCCCTTTTTTGCATTTCTTGCTTCCAAAAATCCAATCTTTATCGCAACAATTTCTTTTTTTTTTTTTTTTTTTTTTTTTTTTTTTTTATATAGGGATGATTTACCATTTTTTCACTCTTTCAAGAAATCAAAAATTAAATGCATGAAAACATATAAGCACATTTATATTCCTTACGTATGAATATGCAGAGGAAAAGAACCTAGAGAGAGAGAGAGAGAGAGAGAGAGAGAGAGAGGTGACCTGAAAGAAGAACTACTTGGTCATGAGAGAGAGAGAGAAAGAGAGGCCTAAATAAAAGAAGGTGAACAAAGAAAATGGAAAAAAGACAAAAAGGGAGAAATTTCTGGTTTTGCAATAACAATTTAATAATTGGAGTAGTTTCAACCAAAGAGAAATTTGAAGTCAAGATAATCAATAGTAGTAAGTTTTGTTTTTTTTTTTTTTTTTATTTTGGTATCACTTGAAAGAAGGAAGAGAAGACATCAGAAGATATTTTGCGTTGGGAAATGAATGTACGAGTATTCCAAATGAGGTAAGGTGGCGGGGCTGCGGTGGCGGTGGTGGTGGTGGGGTAGAGATGATTCAGGTGAATGTGCGGTGGAGGAGAGTTGTTCAAATAAAAAAAAAATGAAGATTACCAATAATCAAACACTTGGCGTGCATGCAGCGACAGAACCACGAATCTCTTTCCCTCTCACCGAATTCCATTCATCACCTCTTTCAATCATTTATTGCATCTATCTACACTATTTATTAAAAAAAAAAAAGAATTTGATAAAAGTTTATCATACAAAAAAAAATGTATTTCATACAAAATTAGAGCTAATTGCAAATACATCCCCTGTGTAATCTCGAATTGGCAAATACCCCCCTGTCAAAAAAAAACTCACCAACACCCCCCTATGTAATCAAAGTCAATGCATCTAGACCCCTTAATGGAATTCGTGTCTCTCACTCGCGGGCTGTGCGAATTTTCATGTCATTTCTAGGGTGAAATGTCATAAATACCCCTGTATAAACAAAAAAGAAATCTGTCAGATTAAATTATAAATAACTATAATTTATAGGGCCAAATTGTAAATTTTAAAATTTTCAAAATTGCAAAATTAGGAACATCTCCTCTTCCCCGTTTCATTTCCGCCGCCCACCTCCCAACCAGGAAAAGTCCGGCATCGCCGCCGCCTTCTGGCCCACCTAGCACCACCGCCGCCTTCTGGTACATCTAGCACCACCGCCGCCTTCTGGCCCGTCTCGCACCACCGCCACCCACCTACTCTTTCAAATTGCTCTCCCTCGTCACCGCCGCCGTCTGACACCACCCATTTCTTAGTGAGAGAGATAGGAGAGAGTTGTGTGTGGGTGAGCCGGTGGTGGTGCAAGAAGGGTGAGCCGGTGGTGGTGCAAGAAGGGTGAGCCGGTGGTGGTGCAGCGGCGTGGGAAGAAGAAATGTTGAGTTGGGTGGCTGGTGGGGTGGGGTGGAGCGGGGAAGAAGAAGCTGATTTTCCCCCTTTTGGTTTTTTTTTTTTTTTTTTTTTTTTAAATTTTTTTTATGTAAATTAAAATGTAATATAAAAAATATATAAAATATACTAAAATCTTTTAATAAAACAGTATATGCTTAATTTTCTTTTATAAAATATTTTTTTTGTGTAATTAAATTAATTTCAGAGTAGAGAATATTTTAAAAAATAAATATGTACAATATATATAAAATTATATATATTTTACTAATTGCTGAAAAAACTCGTAGGGTATTTTTGTCATTTCACTTTTAGTCAATGCCTAAAAACACAGAGGGTGCTGTGAGTTTTAAATTTGATTATACGAGGGGGCGTTGGTGAGTTTTTTTTTGACAGGGGGGTATTTGCCAATTCTAGATTACACAGGGGATGTATTTGCAATTAGCTCTACAAAATTATGTTCATCTCTAACTTCTAAGAACATTTTATTTTCTTCTATTTTTTGCTATTAAGTCCTTCAACAAAAAAAAAAAAAAAAAGAAAATGAAAAAGAAAAAGACTAGGGACTATCAACTATAAATGCACAATTTTGAAGGTGAAGGTAGTGGTTGTTAGGAGTGGTATTTGGAACGAAATTTCTGAATTTTCGTCAATTCCAATAGAAATATTTCCGATTTTAAAATAATAATTTTTCATTTCGAGTTCTGAAAGTTCCAATTTCTGATTTTCCGATTATTTTTGAAACATAGCATTACATATCGAATTCAGATCCAATTTTAATTCTCGGAACACTAAGTCTCAATTTTATGTATTTTATATTATAGGAGACGAAAGAGGATGGGAAATGTGAATTCCACCAACTCCAATTTAAAAATGGCCGCGGATATATACAAGCTCATTTTTTTATTAGTTCAAGACCTTCAACATAAAAATACTAATTTACTCTTAATAAAATCTATATCTATATTATGAGTAAACTGCAAAAACTACCCTCGTGTAATTTCAAAATAGCAAAAACCCCCCTGTGATAAATAAACTAGCAAAAACCCCCCTGTGAAATTTAGTCAAAAGCAAAATACCCCCTAATGCAATTTCGTGTGCCACACTCGCTATGTATGCGGCTGATGATGGATTTTTAGATCTGAAATTACATAATTGCCCCTCAAAATACATTAATATGTGATTTCATGAATTTTTCATATATGTTTCCCACAAAACCCTAATTTTCATTTTCTCACCTTCAATTCCAACCTCAACATCTCGTTCAGCCACCTCCCAGACTCCAACCACTGCAGCAAATCCTCCATCAGGGGTTGCTCTGCTATGTTGCTCTCCAATAGCCGCTGCGACCGCACAAGGGCCCGGTGATCGGAGAAGCTTCAGGAGATTGAGGAATGTCGGAAGCAACTAATCTTCTACGGCGGCGCCGGCACGAATTGAAGCTCTGCGAAGCCCTACAACCCCGATTACAAGATGGCGTTCGGGCCTTTCTCCACCACATCTCAAATCTTCGTTGTTGTTTGACGGATTTTGTAGAATTGTATTGGGGGTTTTGCTAGTTTTTGCAGGAGCAAAACGAGTAGCTCAAATCTTTCCCCTGTTTTTTCTATAAATTTCTTTTTAGATCTGGACGATAAGAAAGATTGGGTTTTTTTTTTTTTTTTGATTTAATTTTTTACTGTGAAGATGATAGTGGTGTTGGTAGAGATGGCAACGGGATTCAATTCGTTGAAGACGATGATGATTCAACTTATCTTCTTCTTTTCTTCTGATTTTTTTTTTTTTTTTTTTTTTTTGTATTTTTAAAATTTTATAAACTAATTAAATTGAAATATTATAAAATTTTAATAATCAAATTAATTAAAGTTTTCTTTTTAAGATAATTCAAAATAAAGAAATACATAATTTTGCAAATTTAAGTTCTTACTGTACGAGTAATTTAAAATAAAAAACCTATATGATAATTTAAAAATAAAATAAAAAAGAAACATATTCTACTTTTCTGATTAAAATGTATAATAAAAATAAAACAGATAAAATATTTATAAATTATAAGAATTTAAAATATTTAGAGAATTGTAAATCTCATTTATATTTTTGTAACAGCTAAAAAATGATATACCAGGGTGTTTATGTCTTTTTACTTTGGGTCAATGTTTAAATTAATAAGGGGTCAAGTGTGCTATTTAAAAAATTTCATAGGGGGGTTTTTGCTAGTTAATTTATCATAGGGGGTTTTTTGCTATTTTGAGATTACACAGGGGTACCTTTTGCACATTACTCTCTATATTATATATAAAACTAAGATACACAATCAAAGTTTTCTAATTGAGGAGATTGAGTCCATAATATTTTATAAATTTCAAAATAACCCCACTTAACATATTCACCCATATTACTAATGAATTTATTTCACATTATTGGTTTTGAATTTTTTATCTCTCCTACATGTCGAAATAGTGTCTTTTTATTGGTTATTGATTTTCCTTTTTAATCCATTGCTTCATATTAAAAAACGTAAATATATAAATGGACATTCCACTTAATTTGGGTTAATTAAATTTTATGCACAATATTATATTAATTGCCAAAAAAACCCAATTTTCAAATTTCATCTATCCTACATGGCAAAATAGTGTCTTTTTATTGGTTAATGAGTTTTTTTTTATTATAATATTTTCATTAAAAAAATCGTGGGACTGAAATGCAATTATGTTCCACCACATATATCACATATTATTATTAATTTCAAAATAACTCAACTTACCATATTCCCCCATATTACTAATGAATTAATTTCACAATAATGATTTTTAAATTTTATCTCTCCTACATGTCAAAATAGTGTCTTTTTTATTGGTTATTGATTTTCCTTTTTAATCCATTGCTTCATATTAAAAAACGTATATATATAAATGGACATTCCACTTAATTTGGGTTAATTAAATTTTATGCACAATATTATATTAATTTCCAAAAAAAACCCAGTTTTCAAATTTCATCTATCCTACGTGGCAAAATAGTGTCTTTTTATTGGTTAATGAGTTTTTTTTTTATTATAATATTTTTATTAAAAAAATCGTGGGACTGAAATGCAATTATGTTCCACCACATATATCACATATTATTATAAATTTCAAAATAACCCAACTTACCATAGTCACCCATTGTATTAATTAATTAATTTCACAATAATGATTTTTAAATTTTATTTCTCCTACATGTTTATTTTTAAAGTAGTATAGATAAAATAGGTAATTACATCAATTTATACTAATTACTTTTTTTGTTACCTTTTTTATATTCCCTAACTCTACTATAAATTAACATTCAACATGATGTACATTCTTCAACTTTTTCACATACTTTTTTTTTTCTGTTTCGGAGATATGGAGAGAATTCTTCGAAAAAGAATTGCATTGGTATCACCTACTTGCAATGGTATATTCATCATAGTCTCTTTTTTAGTGTAACAATGAATTATTGCTTTATTTTGTATCTGATTTCTTCATTTAATTTTATATGTAGCCTTTAAAGAATGCTTTTGTTGAGGCTTCTCGGTTGACCGGATTGTCTACTATCAATATTCGATACGAGGAGGGAAATCATTTTCAAGTTGCGGCATCTTCGCGCAAAAAACATGGAAAAACGTATATGTTGTTGACTAAGGATTGGACAGAGTTTTGTTACGCACATAACATGGTTTGCGGCAACACGTATTCTTTTCTTTTTAACCAATGGGATGATGTACTTGAGGTGTGGCACGGCCCAGCCTTTCCAACGATATGATATGTCTTCGCCCTCCTTAAAGTTTTATTATTAATAATATGTGTTGCATCGATTTATAAATAATTTCCATTTTTTTAGTGTTTTATTTATCATGTTGAAAGAGCATTGTATACCATTAACATAATTGTGCGCATCCACACGAAAACGAATACCCATAAGATAATTAAATAAATATGTAGAAATGATAAAACAATTATAATATATTACAAAAATAGTCACAATATATATCACGTATTTTTAAATAAAAGAATCCGTTAAATCAATAAAATCAATATACATATTTAAACAATAGATTCCGTTATTTTTATAAGCAATTTTAAATGTTCAAAAAGCATAAGCATTATATATAATAGTGTGCAATTAACATGTTTGAAATTTATATTGTTTTTTCCCTAATCCGTTTTATATATATATATATAAAATCAATAAAATATGTATACTTATTTTAACAATAGAATCCGTGTATAATATATTTAATTTTTATGGATATATTCAAACAATATAGATTTTATTTCCTTTATACTAATTAATATCGATTTAATCTTTCATATTTATGTAGGTTATCTATAATTAATATAAATTACGCATATAAATATGTTCATTATCGAAAATTATGCAGCTTATTTATAGGAAATTGCTTATGGATAGTTCATTACATGTAATATGAATAGTTATTAACTATAATATACTCTAATTATAGAACTAGTAATTAATTATATTCCATTTACTATTATGATTTACGAAATAATAGAATCCGTACACACAATATATATATATATATATATATATATATATATATATATATATATATATATATATATATATATATATATATATATATATATATATATATATATATATATATATATATATATATATATATATATATATATATATATATATATATATATATATTAGGCATATAAATATATGCCTTATTTATATATATATATATGTATTTATAGGAAATTGCTTAATTTTAGTTAATTACATGGAATATGAATATTTATTAACTATAATTTACTCTAATTTCGGTACTATTAAATATAATTGTATTTTATTTACTATAATTACGGAACTAAAATTTAGGAATTATAATTTTACTTCCATGATTGTATTTCATTTACTATGATTTAGGAATTATTAAATATCATCATATTATATATACCCGGTTCATTTCATTGTTATTCTAAACTGCAGGATAATATTGTTCTCTCGATACTTCATCAGCCGCCAATCGTTCTCTTTTTGTGGATCGTGAGTAT